CCTTAATGAATCACATCTGCAATGACCCTGTTTCCAAATGAGGTCACATCCTTAAGTTCTGAGCTCAGGATCTCAGCCTTTTTTTTTTTTTTTTTTTGGTCGGGGTGAGGGGTCAGGGGATGACACAATTCAACCCATCTCCCTTCTTTGTTATTCCCGCTTTCCAGGCAGGAGAATGATACCTCCAAGAGCTTGGACTGGAACCCAGATCTGGTTGACTCCTGAGCTGGTTTTCTTCCCGCACTCCATACGTAATGCCTCCTATTTGTGAATCTAATCACAGACAGTAAAGAAGAGGAGTACAGATCCGTTCAGGTTTAGTTATCCTTTTAACAAATTACCTTTATCAAAGAAAGCAAAATTTCTTGAAAAGGAAGATTAATTGAAGAAAAGGAAAGGAAAGGGGTAAAAAAAATGCAGTCGGGAGGGCTCTATTCCAGATGCCTGCGTTCTCCAGGGCTCCCCCCTCCTTGATTCCTGCGCTGGAGATAAATAGTGTGGCCAGGGCGACTCTGCCATTTCAGCAATATTTGGATAGCTGCAGAGATGAGCTGATAGATGGTGTGAACTCGGTCATTTCTCCCCCTTCAAGTGGCCTGTGACTTTGTCCCCGTATTACATACCTAACGTCCCCCTCGTCTTGGAGACATCGTGCCACCCCAGCAGGATCCGAAGGCAGGTCACTGGGGAAACCACTGAGGCGGGTTGGCGGGAACCACACTGATGGGGTCAGCAGGTGGCAGGCACCAGGGGCAGGGATGACAGTTGTGATGACCACAGCCTGCTCGGAAGGGTCCGTGGGGAAGGATGCACCAGCACTCGCCCAGGACAGGGAGGAAACTGATTCAGTGTTTGTTTCCTGACTCACAGAGCTCAGCCCATTCATCAGGTCAAAGTGTGTAACACGCCCGTGTTTCTCCAGGGTATTCATGAGGGACTGTGTATCTCCCCCCCCACACCCCGCTTTGAGCACCTGTTGTGTGAGACCTCGAAGCCTGATGTCTGGCCTGGTGGGAGGACTGAGAGGAGGTGGCACAGCATTTAAAAGCCCAAGCTTTGGGGCAGATGGACCTAAGGTCAAATCCCAGCTCTCTTCCAAGGGCCCCTCTTCCCTGCCCCCCCTGCAGCCTCTCCCCTGGGCAGTCTCTCTGGCAAGGACAGAGAAGTCCTCCTCCCAAGCTGAGACTCGCTGTGTTACAGGGGGAGGGGGCAGCTTTGGAACGGACAGGCCTGGGCGTGGATTTGCTCTAGACCCTCAGAGCTGGGTGGATTCAGGCAACTTAGCTTGAGCATTAACATGTGAATCAGTACCACTTTGGTGGCAAGGGACAAAAACCCATCTTGAACCAGCTTAAGCTAAAGAGGAAAATGCATTGTGTCTTGTCACCCAGCTGCGGAAGGGACTGGAGTTTTCGAAGGAGTGACTTGTGCCCTTTGTCTCTCTGTGACTCTCCTCTCTGCTCGCCTCTGCGTTGGCTTCATGCTCCCAAACAGGCTGACTTTGGTGCTAGGGAGTATGGCTCTTGGTCGCTCTGGGCTTATAGAGACTTGCCGGTGTCATTAACCCAAGGGAAACAGATTTCTTTCTCCTAGCTTTGATCTGCAAGAATCCAGAGTGCGTCATGTGCCCTTCCCTGGAACAATCAAGCAGTCACTGGCTGGTGGGAGGGGCAATATAATTGGCCTGCCAAGGTCAGGGGCGGGTAAGGTCTGTTAAGAGAAAAATAGAAGAGGTGGTGCTTTGAAGGTGCAAATGATATCATGACAGTCCCCCCTTCACTCCAAAGTGGACACATGTATCCTCTGACTGTTGTTATTCTGAGGATCAAAATTTCATCTAGCAGGATCCACTATCCCACATAGAGCCAAATGCCCCTACCCTCACCCTTAGGTGAGACCAGCCGAAGCCATAGCACATCTCATTTCAAGCCCAGTGGATCCAGGGGCATTAGCATTTCTCCCCATCAGGTCTCAATGTGGCTCTTGGTGATCCTGGACCAGAAGGAAGCAGACCCTCCCCACAAGTAAAACAGTTGGAGGACAGACCTGGGCTTAAATTAGACGCTTACAGGGTGTAGGAACTTGGGGCAGATGTCATAGCTTCTAATTCTACTTAGAAAAGAGGAAAAGCAGAAGTAACATTTGTGGTGACTGGTCAGAACATACACCATATGCCAAAACTCAGACTCACTTCTAAGGCAGGCAGGTGTAATTGTCATTAGGATCAGCTTCCTCATCTGTAAAATGGGTTAATAAGAAGCTTGTGAGGGTGTGAATGTAAAAAAAAAAAATAACGCTAAGCAAAATGAGCCAGTCAGAGAAAGACCTACCATAGGATTTCACTCCTATGTGGAATTTCAGAAACAAAACAGAGGAGCGAAGGGGGAAAAAAAAGGAGAGGGAGACAAATCAAGAAAACAAACGCAACTCTTAACTATAGAGAACAAACTGATGGTGACCAGAAGGGAGGTGGGTGGGGGGCTGGGGGAAATAGCGGATGGGGATTAAGAGTGCATTTATCGGGGCACCTGGGTGGCTCAGTTGGTTAAGCGACTGCCTTCGGCTCAGGTCATGATCCCAGAGTCCCGGGATCGAGTCCCGCGTCAGGCTCCCTGCTTGGCAGGGAGCCTGCCTCTCCCTCTGACCCTCCACCCTCATGTACTCTTTCTCATTCTCGCTCTCTCAAATAAATCTTTAAAAAAAAAAAAAAAAGTGCATTTATCATGATGAGCACTGAGTAACGTACAGAATTGTTGAATCACCGTATTGTGCACCTGAAACTAATGTAACACTGTACGTTAACTGTACGGGAATCACCTGTTAGAGAGAGAGAGAGAGAGAGAGTGCGCGCACGTGCACGCGGGAGGAGGGGCAGAGGGAGAAGCAGGCTCCCCGCTGAGCAGGGAGCCCAATGCGGGACTCATCCCAGGACCCAGGGATCATGACCTGAGCTGAAGGCAGATGCTTAACTGACTGAGCCCCCGAGGTGCCCCAAAACTTTAAAAATTTTTAAAAATTAAAAGGAATTGCCCATAGTACACAGCATATAGTAAGTGCTCAATACGTGGCTCCCCACACAGTCTTTTGATCTGACAGCAAAGACCTCATGCTGCCAAAATAACTTTCCCCCCGCTTCCTCTCTCCCTCCTCCCACTCCCCCCGCCCCCACCTTCTCCGATCCATCCCGGGATACTCTGTCCTTTACTGAACTGTGTTTACTGAGCCCAAAGTTCACCAGAGGCTCCGCCCCCGCAGCTCAGTTGGGAACAGCACCCATGCCCCAGTTATGGGGCCAGGACTCCCTCTGTGACAGGAAGGCCACACACCATAGAGCAAGCACGGGGACAGGACGTGGGCTTCTCCACAGCTGTCCCCATCTGATGTGCCCGCTCCAGGGAAGCAATCTTTCTGTTTAAGCTGGACTCTTCTTAGTCAACCTCATCTTATAAAAGAAATTCAGAGTGATCAGGATGAGGCCCGTCTCCAGCGGGGCTGACAAATTCTGCACTTAGCAGGCTGGCACTGAGGGGCACGATTGCTCGGGAAGGAGCCTGCACCCTCTGCTAGAGCCCGTTCTCCACCATAAACGAGGGGGGCACCAGCCCACAGCTGAAAGAGTAGGCCAGCCAGGGAAAGTGACCCATGGCACGTCATATTGTCCTCAGTCATCCTCTGCAAGGGCTGGTGACATCCTCCCGTTACCTACAAATGGAATAGTGGAAAGAGTGCTCGTTTGGGGGTCCCCTAGACCTGGACTTAAATCTTCCTTCTGCCACCACTGAGCCTCGGGCTTTAGGCCAGACACTGGACCTTCCCGGGCCTCTGCTGAGTCATCAGAGAGCATGGGCTTACCAGCACTTCCCACTTCACCTGGGTCCTTGCAAGGATCTCTGGATTCCAGAAGTAAGCAGGGATTCAGAAAACGGGCTCTGCGGCCACATCACCCGGGTCCACCCTAGCTCCGCACATACCAGCTGTGTTTCCTTGGGCAAGTGACTTCACCCCTCTGGGCCTCAGCTTCCTCTTCTGTATAGAGTGGGAATATTAGTACTTGGAAGATCATCGTAAGGATTCAGCGAGACGGTCTGTGTAACCCACTTAGCAAAGCGCGTGTCCCAATTCTGAGAACATACAGGGAAAGACTGTTTTATAAACTGAATTGTGGTCTTCATGTGCAAGAATGACTATTTACTGTGAAGTACAAGAACATATTTACTACTTTAAGAAAACTCTGTGTATGGTTTACAATTGGTTTTTATACGTCATTTAAAAATTTTCTTTGGATGAAAGCACTCCCCTTGGCCTGCATGTAAGCAAACTGTAAAGTACCTGCACAGCACTGTGAATGGCCAGATTCATATTGCACTCGTTTTCCTTTGTGCCGATTACGCACAAGACGCTATGGTAGAAACATTTATACAGATCATTCCATTTTGACCTCACTGGGTTAGTATTTTCATCCCCACAGTGAAGGGAACTAGACCTTAGAGAGGTACCCTGGCCCAAACTGACTAGGCTAGTGCCTGGAACTGACCAAAGTGGGAAGCCTTTGAGGCTATCCTCGGAGGTATCCGAGTCCACATGTCCGAGGAAAAGTAACTATCTTAAGGCAGCCTGTAGAAATGAGAACACGCCGTTAGCTGTGTCAAGCTCTTCAGAGCTGTCTCCATATGGGTCTCGTCTGTGTGGTGCTTGGACAGTGACCCTGGCTTGGCTCCCTGGGTGCTCAGTTGTCACCAGTAGAACCCAGGGGCTTGGCCTTAACCCTGGCCGCAGAACGGTCCCTTCCTCCTCTCTTGGCCTCCACTGCCCTTATGGGTCAGGGTCTGCCAGCCCACGTGACTTTCAGTCTGTCATTTCTGCGTTTCTGCCCAGAGGAAGGAACTGGTACCAAAAGGTCAAGAAGGCCACGTAGCCACAAGGACACTGGTTACCACTGGTTTGCAAACCCTTTTCTGCTCTGTCCCCAGCCAGATCTGACTTTTCTCCTCTCCCCAAAGCCAAGTACATCGGCTGCTACCTGGATGACACCCAGAGCCGGGCCCTGCGAGGCGTGTCCTTTTTCGACTACAAAAAGATGACCATCTTCCGTTGCCAGGACAACTGTGCAGAACGGTAGGGCCCTGACGTCCCACGCTCCATTCATTTCAGACTCCTTTCCTTCGGCGGTGTCCCTTGCTTTTCCATGGAAGGGCACAGTAGAGGATGAGCATGTGGCCACAAGGAAAGGGTGACGCCGGGGTGCATGCGTGTGCACGTGTGTGTATGCAAATGAGCAGGATCGTTGGTCTGTGGGAGTTAATGATCGCGTAGTCGTGTGACACTGTGCCTCGGTGTGAGTTTGTATGTACAGTGTGCAGGGTCAGCAGCTTATGTTTGGAAGCTTCATGCACATGTGTCATGATCTTTAAGTAATAGTGGTTGTGTGTGCAGGAGACTTTGTGAATCTGTGTGCAAGGGTCCAAACTTGTGCTCGTGTGTAGGAAAAGCCTGCGGGTGTGACTTGGTGAGCAGGAGGCTTGTATGACGTCCATGGGACATCTTGTAGGGCGAAACACTCGGCTGTACCCACAGTGTTTTCCAGTTGAAGAAAGCGATGTTCTTGATGAGGACACATACTGGGGGAGGCAGCGGACTTTCCAAGGGTGGATGAGGCCCCATAGGACAGGCAAGTGGGGACAGGACCCTCAGTCTGGGCCTAGGCCCCAGCATTGCCGCCTTGACCTGGGGTGGCTTGTGAAGAGGCTGCTAGCTTGCCCACCTTCAGACTCTAGCTGCCTGGCTCTGAGGTCACAAAGTCTGAAGGACCTCAGCTGCATAGCTGTCGTGAAAATGAGCACGTGGGTGGCCAAGGGACTCCTCCCTCTGTCCTTGATTAGGAAGCACTGTCCCCTTTATAATCATCTCCCTGAGCCTAGGTTCCTCTCCAGCTTGGGAAAGACTCTGAGCCCTTGAGGATGATCAGTTCGCTCATGTATCAAACTGTGGGGAGACACAGGTGAATTCCACAGAGTTCATGTCCCCCGTGGAGTCACAGCTTTGATGGGGAGACCGACACGTACACAGAAAAGGGCCGTGTAGCGGGATGAGGGTTCAGATGGCATGAACTGCAGACTGTGGAAATGCAGAAGAGGGCCCCAGCCTGCCTGGGGTGTCAGGAAAGACTCGGAGGGGGTGACAGCCAAGATGAGCTTCAGAGGATGAGTCAGATGAATCCACCTGATTCATCTGCCCCAGCCGTGGGCCTGGGCCCCGCAGAGTCCGTATGGTCTCTGTCTTGGAACTCAGGAAAAATGCAAATTCTTGCCGCCGTCTGTCCCCTCACCCCCCACCCCCGCCCAAACCTACTGAACCAGAAAGTGGGAATGGAGTCCAGCAATCTATTTTACCAGAGTCCAGACTTGAGTCACGTAATCCACTTGAGTTCAGCAAATATTGATTGCTGCCCACGTGTGCGTCCAGATGCTGGAAATGCAGCCATGAGTCAGCCGCAGCCCTGCCCTCTGGGGGCTCCTCAGCCAGTTGGGAAGACAGAGGCAGGCACAGGCTGGGGCGGTAGAAAAGGAGCAGTTTACACGTGGTGGGTGTTTGCTCCGTGCCAGGCACTGTTCTCGGCACTTTGCAAATATTAACTCTTAGCCCCCATTCCTCTCCCGCATGACCCCTATGAGGCAGATGAGGAAACCAGAGTATGGAGACTTCAAGCATGATAGGTGCTGGACGGGGTGTGCTGTCTAGACTATGGGGGCCTTGCGAAGGCTGATGGAATGCAGGGCTCAGCAAGAGTTACAAAGGTGAGATCTAGAGCTGAGTTTTGAAGCATGAATAGGAGTTTTCTAGGGAGTCACGGTAGGATGGAAAGAACAGCATATTCAAAGACCAGACCTCCTGCAAGATCCTCAACACCCAGCATCCTCAGGTTGGCAGGGTGGGGATGCACAGGAAGTCCAACAGGGAGCTGTCAGGAGGGAGGGGAAGCTGCAGGCTGGCTGATGCCTGCTGATGCGGAGCCTTGAATGCCATCTGAAGCATCCGGATTGGCCATGGGCAAGGGGGAAACTGCTGGAGGCTGTTAATCAGAGGATTGGTGTACATTCATTCAACAAGTATTTGTTAAATACTTACCGTACACCAGGTGTTGAGAATGAAGAGGTAGGTTGGGGGAAGCTGGGGGTGGTGGGAGCACATCATCTAGGACAGGGGTCCTCAGCCTGGAGTGAATATCCACATCACCTGGACTCTGGTAAAATAGATTGCTAGACTCCATTCCAACTTTCTGGTTCAGTAGGTTTGGGCGGGGGTGGGGGGTGAGGGGGCAGACGGCGGCAAGAATTTGCATTCTTCCTGAGTTCCAAGACAGAGACCATACGGACTCTGCGGGGCCCAGGCCCACGGCGGGGGCACCACTGCTCTGATTTTCACACAAAGCAGCACGTTAGAATCACAGGGCCAATTAAATTAGACCCTCTGGAAGTGGGAGCTGGGTGTGACATTTAAAAAATGCTCCCCAGGTGATCCTAATGGCTGTCCATTTAAAGAACCACCGATAGGAGGGTTTGTAGACTGAGCCAAGCCATCTGGAAGCTTATCTGCAGGCAGTGGAAGCCTGGGGGTGGGGGGTGGGGGCGGTTAGGGAGTGGAGAGGTGGGATCTGTTTTAATTCTGGAAAGATCCTTCTGGTGAAGGCCACCACAGGGACATCAGGATTAACAGTCTACGGCCTTCCCAGGGACCACTGGTGACCCTAAGGATAGCGAGACCAGCTCCATTTCCCTTCCTATATTAGTTATCCATCGCTGGGCCACAAATCATCCCCAAATTTAGCATCTTGAACCAACAAACATTTATCATCTCCCAAGTTTCTGAGTGTGCCAGAAACTACGATCGGGGAGTGGGGTTAGCCAGGTGATTCTGCCTCAGTGTCTCCATGAGTTTGCGGTCAAGAGAGGGCCGGGACTGCAGCCGTCTGAGGGCGTGGATGGGGCTGGAGAATCCCCCTCTCAGACGGGCACTCACAGCTGGTGGCTGCGTCCTCCCACAGCAGCTGTCCCCCACCCTCCCCACTGTGAGCCATCCCAGGGAGGGGGCTAGGGGGAAGCTACCACTTGCCCTGGCATTGTAACACCCACTGGAAGTGTTTCCCCCCACCTTGGAAAATGTTCCTTCTGTCAGTGGGTCCAGTTACACGAGAGGGGCTCAGGGCACCCCAGAACCAGGGCTTCAGAGAGACGGGATGTGTGAGACAGACAGACGGAAGGCAGGCTGGCCCAGCCCCAGAATGCCGGTGGGGTTCAGGCACCAAGATGCCCATTTAGTTTAAGCTGCTCGTGCTGTACCTGCCCAGATGAGTGTGTGGAGCAGAGCATGGCACCTGCCACCTGGGTAGCGGAGGTGTGTGGAGGCACGTGTCTGCCGGGTCCGTCTGTCTGGCTGCCCACAGGCGTCCAGGGTGAAGACGCGAGCTGACCACTCCCCTTGGGGCCGCCTTGCATGACCAGGGGCCTGCAGGCCAAGCCTTCCTGGTTCTGGAGAATGCCTCACAGGCGAGGGGGCTGAGCGGGGCTTGCCCAGACCCTCTCCCTCCGTCCCCACCCCCTGCAGCCAAAACAGGCCATGGCTTTTCGTCTGTTTACAGAATCGGTGTCCACTGAGAGTCCTTTTTAGGAAATAGTCCGATGGCTATGGGGAAAAAAAAAGAAGTTGAAAACCTTGCAGTGCCTGGATTTTTTGTTTTGTTTTAGGGGAAGGAATTTTTTCCTTGGCTGGATATGTGACCCTGGTTTTGCCATCTTCCGAGGGGATACGAGATCCCTGCCTCCTCCCTTCATTCCAGCTCTTCTCAAGGAACATGGAGGCATCATTCCTAGGGGACGTTTCCTGGAACAAAGGGGCTGGACTCTGGAGATATAATTAGCGCATGGCTCTAGATGGGAGGGGCAAGAGAGTGCTGGGATGGAGGGACCCCAGGCTCGGAGGGGCGTGTGTGTGTTTGAAGTGTATAAGGTGGGTGTAAGTAGGACACGTGTGGCCACGTGGGTACGTGTATGGGGAGGAAGGCAGGGGGTGGTCCTGGGGGTCCTGGGCCCCAGAGCCCTCCCATCCCCCCGAGTCTCCTGGCCCCCCGGGGGTCTGCATGGGGGCAGCTACCCGGGCCTGACCGCAGCCTTCCCCAGGGGCTACCTGTATGCCGGGCTGGAGTTCGGAGCCGAGTGCTACTGCGGCCACAAGATCCAGGCGACAAACGTGAGCGAGGCCGAGTGTGACATGGGGTGCAAGGGCGAGCGCGGCAGCGTGTGCGGTGGCGCCAACCGCCTCTCCGTCTACCGGCTGCAGCTGGCCCAGGAGTCTGCGCGCAGGTGTACGTGAGTCGGCCCCGCCCCTCCCCGCGGCTCCTCCGCGGCCTGCTGCTCCCTGCCCTGCGCCTTCTGTGGCTCCCCAGCACCCCCATTGTCCTGCCCCAACTTCCACCACAGCCCTTGCAGAGCTCTCTGCTCCATCTACTCCCAAGTGTTTCCACCTGTCCGTGTCCTCTCCCTCCCACACGGAGCAGCCTCCTGTGTCAGGGGCAGCCCTCCTTCTTGAGAACCCTGTCTTCCTCCGGGGCAAAGTGAGCTAGAGCCTGAGCTGTTGGCCTTCCTGACTTTCTGAAAGCATATTGTCTGTAACAGTGATGCGGACGAGGATGAGGACCATAACGAGGGCAAGAGCAGACACCTGGTCCTTTTTTAAGTGTCTTATGCGGAGTAGCCCATCCTCACAGTGACCCTGCGAGTCGGCACTATTCTTCTCTGACTCCCATTTTATAGACCAGGAAACCGAGGGTCAATGTCACATAAGCCGCAGAAGATTTAAACAAACTCTGGAGCTTACGTCTTCAGTGCTCCCATAGAGAGAATTTCTTGCTTGTCGGTGCTTCAGTCTTGTTGGAAAAACTCTCCAGTTTCCACACGGAGGGAGGGAGAAGTAGAGAGGGAGGTGAACAGGAGAGTGTGGGCGCTGGCCCGTCTTCTGCAGACATCGTCCCATGTCCCCCCTCTGGCTGCTTCCTAACAGTTAATGTCTGTTTAGCAAGAATCCGCTGTGTGCCAGGCACTGTGCCAAGCCCACTGCAGGACCGAATTCGTATCCCTTCCCTGTAGCTTCTTCAGGCGGTTACCAGTGTTAATTCCCATTTTACAGTGGGGAAACGGAGGCTCACCGAGTTTAAGTGCCCAAGGTCACCCAGTTTATTTATGAGACTGACGCGCTACCTACTGCGCAAACGAGGCACCTCACCCAGTTTATTTAAAGGTGACCCACAAACCTGTGAAAACTGCAGAGGGCCTGGACAAAAGACAGAGGGCTGGGTTTCTCCCAGTTACCTTTCTGATGCAGACCCGAGGCAGAGACAGGAACCCACAACCGCATCTCTGACCCTTGGGCCAGGGCTTCCCAAATTAGAATGTGCCTGTAAACCCTATGGAGATGTTGTTACCATGCAGATTCTGTTTCAGCTGGTCAGGGTGAGATTTTGCTTTTCTGAGGAGCTCCCAGGTGATGCTAGGCTGCTGGGCCAGGGACTACACTTTGAATAATAAGGCCTCAGACCTCAGCAGAGCTGACACGCCCTGCCCGGAACGTTGGCCTGTCATCGCGGGCGGCTTTGCCAGTCTTCCACGGGAGTGCCGTTGTTTATAAAAATTCGTTGGTTGGTTTGCCTGATAATGCGTTCCGTTTTCCAAATCCCGTGCTTTTGAAGCCCCCGCTCAAGCTTTGCTGTACAGGAGGGTCGAGCATGCTGCCCATTTGCAAAGGTGCTGATTGCTGCAAATGGGTGCGCCATCTACCACCCCAGAGTCGCCTCGGTTCACCCGGGGCTGAAGTCCTGTCTGGCAGCGGGCACAGGTGGTGTGTGAAATCCAGGCTGGAGAATGTCCACACAGCGAGTCTCTGGTTTGGCTGTTAGTGTAATGAGATTTTAATTTGATGGCAGATTTACCATCCTCACACAGATCCCTTTATGCCAGTATTTATGTTCTTTTGATGGTGACTTTGACTATCCGAAGAGATGGTCTTAGAGTCATGGCTATTGAGTGAGAAAGCTGTTGCCACTACATCCTAGTGGATGAGGATGAGCTGGAGCACAAGAAATTAGGCCGTGTAGGTCATTAGCCAGATAGCAGCCAGACCTCCTATTGGTTAGTGTTCAGATTGGCTGGATAATCTGGACATATTCTGCCCCCCAACCCCTGACTCTGTCTCTCTCTCTCTCTCACATACACACACACACAAACTACTGTGATCATCTGATACGAATAACACTGTCATAGGCCATCGAAGATTTTTCAATCAGCTGAAATATACAAGCCTCAGCACAGACAGACACTAGATTCTGTATAATAGGGTGGGTCTTGCCCTTGTAGCAGTCGGAGGGCTGGTGGTTGCTGAAGACAGCCCCGGAGGCTGGAAGGGATGCTGCTGCACCCCTCAGCTTACGCACATCTGCAGCAGCAAAATTACCTGCGATGGTGTTTTGCTCCATCTGAGAAAGGAGTCTTTTGCATTGATGTCCAAGAGGGGAACATTAATCATGTCTACTGAGGGTGGCGTCCTGGATTCTCTAAGTCCACCACATTGTCCTGAATCATCACTCTACAAGATTTGAAGCTTGGGCACCTTCAGCTGGAGCCTCCAGAAGAAAACTGAAGCCTTATTAACCTCAAGGCTGAGACAAGAATGGAAGTGGCTTGGATAAGGGGATGGATGGTTGATGATGTGTCAGATTGAGATTCCTGGTGGGCTCCCGGTTGGCAACATGGTATCTGGAGAGAGCCTGGGGACCATTCATTGAACCAAAATGCTTGAGAAGCAATCTCGTGGATTAGGCATGGGGAGGATGAGCGGAGAATAAAGCACAGTCCCTGCCTTCGGGAGCTCACCGTGCAGTGGAGATACAGACCCAACACCACTGGGGGTATGTGTTGGGGGATTGCAAGGGCTCTGTCTGCAGGAGGCAAGGGAGCAACATTTGAGCTGAATCTCGTTCTAAGGAGATTTCCAGATAAAAGGGAGAGCCCTATATTCCAACCATGAGCAAATAGTGCAGGGTCAGCAAAGGTCTTATGTTGAGTACCCTGTTGGAAGCACCTTCCTTGCTGATGTCCCCTTTTACAGCTTTAGAGACTGAAGCCCAGAGAGCATAAGTGGCTGAGTTGAACAGCCATGGAGGGAGGCTTCACAGAAGATTAGGGCCTTGAAAGACACATAGGATTTTGCCTGGTGTAGGAGAGGAGGATATCCAGACTCAAGTTGTGAAGGGGTTGGTAGAGAAATCTAGGAAGAGGGAATGAGTGTGTGAAAGTCTAAAGGTGACTTCAGGAAATGATGAACAAGCATGATTTTTCTAAGGCCACAGTGCTTCCTAGGGACTGAGCATGGGCTGGAAGCCAGCCCTCTGACTCCTAGTTTGGGTGCTGTAGACACCTTGACCCCTTGTATTGGATTCTGGACCTCATCTCCTTTCTTTTGGGAGAACTCCTTGGATCTAGCTTACCTCCTACTTTCCCTGACCTCTGATCTCTCCTTCTGCCCCGTTCGCTGACTCCAAGCAAAACAGAATCACCAGTGTCTTTGTTCTGATGCAGTGGCACCTTTGGCTTCCCATTTCTGGATCTGATTTATACACAAATCAGAAAGGGAGGCCTTCCAAGCTACTGGCACACAACACTAGGCAGGGAAATGAGCAAACGCACCAGGAAACAGGTATGGTAGAAACCAGACTCCATTTGTATAGTCATTAGTTGGTATTAACGCTGTGTCCTAATTGTGTTTCCCTGAGCAGTGGCACAGAATTCTTAATGATTGGAGAGATTTAAAGGAGGCTTCTTATCTCCAAGCACCACTCTGGTAGGGCATACGCCTTGCATAGGGAGGCAGCCTGCATGTTTCTGAGGTGATGGAATGCTCCTATAGTAGCAAGAGCATTAAAAGGTTGGCAGAGCAAATGTCTGCAGGCACCCTGCTATTCTTCCTTGACACAGACTCTCAGGCACATGGACTCTTTGCTCTTGTTACAAAAGAAGCGAGAAATGGACTTCCTTCTTGGTTGGATTACATTTTTCACAGAAGTTTGCTAAATGTGTCAGCAAGTGTAGCTCTCCTCCCAGGGGCAGAGACCTGCCAGTGATTTGAGAACATTATAGCTTTATAGGATGTTGCAAGAATTTCCATTTGCCTGGAAGATTCTTGCAAGATTTGTGTTACAAGGTTTCTTAGAACTACATTGAACCTGTTACATACATATTGTGCCCATTGGGTGGCTGTCCGTGGTGCTGACCGTCCTTTAGTGTTACCTAAAACCCCCAGGACTGCAGACAGACTAGCTTCTCCCAAGACTCAGCACATTTTCCTCTTGTTTTTTTGTCTTCTACCTTGGGGGAAGTACTATGAAGTATTATTATGGTGGAAGTATTACATGATCACAGAAAAAAAAAATAGACCTTTGACTTAGGGCTCACAATTTACATAGTGTATTTTGTGTACTGTGAGTTTTGGCAGTTTGTTGTCTTTGAAAGTTCGAAGGGGAGTTTTGTGTCATGCTTGTGTTATGCTCATTGACAACTCCATTCCAGCCACTTCTGCCAAGGGGAGCCGCAGATGATCGTGTAAAATCACACTGGCTGGAGGGACGATCCCTTGCTCCTCCTTTGCCAGTTCTGGAGGTCTCTCCTTCCCCTTGATATGTGCCCAGGACCCCTGAATTTTATAATGTATATGGGTCTTCAGGAGTTCTGCTGTGTAGGGTCAAGGAGGTGATAGGTAGAAAAATTTTCTTCTGCGTCACAATGGGGAAGAATTGGTTTGCTCTTATCCCCTCAGTGAAGTCCACAAAGACTGATAGGGACATTGTAGGTCTTGAACTCAGGCAGACATGGTTTCTATCCCAGCTTTCTCACTTACTTGCCATGTTGCCTATGGCCAGGCTGCTGACTCTCTGAGCCTCAAGAGCCCCATCAGTAAAATGGGGACAGTTCCAACCTTTAAAGATGGCCATGACCACCAAGTGAGGTAAAGTCGAGGAAGCACCTAGCACAGTGTTATTGAGCAGATATGCCCCTTTCTTCCTGAAATGAAAACTCCTCAATGCACTCCAAGCAGCACCCAATTCACGTTCTCTGAATTTGCAACAGCCCGCAGGAGCCTTTGGTGATGCCTAAAAATAGCTGGTTTGAATTCTCGGACAGTTAGGCTCTCTGTGTAATTCAATCTCTCTCTGATTATAGGTAGCTGTTAACAGCTCCCAGCTCACTGCCTTTCCTCCTCGATGGCATCTTTAATGCAGTAGAGCCTGGCCTAATTACCCAGGGGGTGGTGGCCTCT